AAGCTCAGTATTTTATTTTTTCACTCATGTAGGTAATTTATCTCAAAATAATTTTTTTAAAGGGCAGGGTCTGGCCTGCCTTAGAGCTCCTCTCAGATTCTCAGGTTTTCCTCCCCCCAGGTCCCTTGCTGAGACATGGGAGGTCCTCTACCCCCCAGATCTTGGCATCAGCCAGGTCATATCCCTTCTTCTTGCTCCTGGCTTGGACTCACCTTGATTCATGACTTGGTTTACCTGCCATACTGAAGTGTTCACATTCAAGAAGCAGTTTGTTGTTCTCTGCCCTCGGCTCTTTCAGCTTCCAAGTGTTCACCACTGCTTTGTTCCAGATCTTTTTAGCTCTTTCATGTGCAAAGATGAACATTCACTTAGGCCCTGGGCCCCTTGGCATTTGGACCAGCCCAGCCCAGAGAGAGCCCTTCCCATTCCATTGAGTCACCTGAAGATAACTCAAGATTCTGCCATGTCATGTTCCATTAAGCTGACATTATGACCAAAAGTGAATTCAACCCAGGGCTGAGCTCCTGATGGTTCCTGGAATCTGAACATGCACAGCTAGGTGAGTTGACTAGCTAATTCTAGCATCTGATTAATTGCTGTTGCTGCTGCTGCTACAATAACTCAAATCACAGAAGCTGTTAGTGACTCTTCGCCACATACATCAGGATCGGAGGGATCTTAGAAGCGTCCTAGTTCACCCCCTTCCAGTGTTATCAGATAAAATATGGGAAGTCCACAAATACTCCATGGGATATACTGATGCTAAAAAAAATTATTTGCTCTTTATCTGAAATTCACATTTAATCAGGCATTCTGTATTTTCATTTGCTGAATCTGGTAAGCTTAATCTTTTCATTTCGCACAGAGAAGTTTGAGGAATAGAGTTTACATAGCTTGCCCCAAATCATAGTCAGTGGCAGGTCTGGAACTAGAATCCAGGACTTCTGAGTTCCATTTTTTCTTTCCTCTGTATCACATGGTCACCATGCAAAAACTACTAGAAATATCAGGAGAATATGCACTCATTACAACAATCAAGCATATGAGATCCAGAGGACAGTATTTGCCCAGGGATAGAACTAGGAAGGTGGGGAATGGGAAGGAATAATAAAGGGAAGGCGTGGATTTAGGGAGTGGGAAGAATGCTGTTACAGTGTGGGGATTGCAGTAAATCTCACTAAATAGAATGTGTATGGATTGTTGGATAGAAAACCAATTGCTCCATAAACATTCACTCAAATCACAATGAAAAAAACAGAACAAAAAACTGGTAGCCACAGATTTGCATCTGATTGACAAGGAGAAAATTAACATTCTAGACACTGCTAAAGACAAAATTCGACCTAAAGGCCTGAGTTTGTGGTACAGATGTTAGAAGAAAATATCTATTGGTGTAAAATGATATGGAAACAGTGCAGTGAAGATTGAGAACAAGGTATTTGTCACTAAAGTGCAAGGGTTGCCTCACTCAGAGTGCCAAAGAAAGACCAGAAAGAGAGGCAATTACTTCGTAGTATAACTACCTTTTTTTTTTTCAAGAAAAATGCTATTTTTAATATTAAAATATGTAATAATATTTTGACTCAGAATGCATTATGTGTGTGTGTATACATTTTTATGTATTGATATATAAATATATATAATATGCAATTTCAACAAAAATTGGTTCATGTTCTTTTTCCTTCTATTCAGGGTATTGAGTAGGGAAGGTTGAGAAGTACTGGATAGGAGACATTCTAAGATACCCTCTAGTATTATAAAGAATATCATAATACTAAGATACTCTTCAGTGTTATTACTGATTTTATGATAAATGTCAAGGTTTAGGAAGATTGTGCAATATGTGGACTATAAAAAGATTTAGATGACCCTTTCAAGTCATAGCAGAGTATTAAAGTGGATGGGGAGGGAAGTAAGTTGGTGGATGTTGGGCTGTGCCTCATGTTTTTTCCTAGTCTGGCTCTGAACCCTTCTGAATAACTATTATTTTTGAGCATCAGCTCTATGCCAGGTACAATTCATACATTATCTCATACGTCTTCACCCTAAGTTTGTGAATGAAGTGTCATTCCCTTTAATATACAAAGTAACAGGGTCAGAGAGGTTCACTATCTTGTCCATGGCCATACAGCTGTTCGGGCCAAGGTTCTATCCAACCCGCAAGTCCACAGACCTGAAATGCCACATCAGGGTTGCAAATAAGTTTCATTTCACAGGCCAATTTCCCATTGGTGGGAGTTGCTACATAAAACACTGGCTGAGAATTCCCTAACAAGAAGGGGCAGCTGTTCAAACCCATCAGCTGGTCTGCAGGAGGAAGATGGGGCAAACTACTTCTGTAAAGATTTACAGCCTTGGAAACCCAAAGGGGGTTGCTATGAGTCAGAATCAACTTGATGACAGTGAGTTTGGTTCTTCATTATTATTATTATTGCACCTGAAAAGGATCCCTGGTGGTGCAGTGGTTAAGCACTCGGCTGCGAATCAAAAGGTCAGTGAGTTGAACCCACTAGTTGCTCTGTGGAAGAAAAATGTGGCAGTTTGTTTCTGTAAAGATTTACAGTCTTGGAAACCCTATGGGGCAGTTCTACTCTGTCCTATAGGGTCTCTATTAGCCTGAACCAACTCAGTGGTGATGGATTTTTGGTTTATATGACCCAAGGTAGGAGTTTCTGTAGCACATTATCAATGTCTGCCCTAGGTGTGGGATGGAAGAGTGGGGGCCCCTGTAGTAGAGTTTCAATCAGTGGCTAGGACTTCCCCTCTCCCCACATCCTTCATTATTCTGAAAAGGTTCAGGAGAGGCAGGCTCAGAATGAGCTCCAGATGCCTGCCTTGAAAAGCATGAACAAAGCATTAAAACAGTTGACAGCCTCCTGCCAGGATCACTGTCGGATGCATGAGATTTTACAATAAGAGCCCCTCCCCTGGTAGCAGATAACTGTGACCTTCAAATCTCCTCTGAAGAGTATGGGAAATGAGACAACTGCCAAAAGGGAATGCTGGTATCACTGTGTAGTCTCTGGGTGGCACAATTAAGTGCTCTGCTAGTAACCAAAAGGTTGGTAGTTCAAACCTATCCAGAGGTACCTTGGAAGAAAGGCCTGGTGATCTGCTTCCAAAAGGGCACAGCCTTGAATCCCCTATGGAGTGCAGTTCTACTCTGTAACATGCAGGGTCATCGTGAGTCAGAATCAACTCATCAGCAATGGGTTTGTTATGGCTAGGATCACTACATGAAGGAACTACAGGGCAAGCAAGTGGTCCAGAACCTAAGGAGTTGCCTCTTACATAGCTCATTCTCATTTGTTAGTTAGATGAAACTCCCCTGCGTAGTACTGTTCCCTACTCATGGCCCATGGACTAAAGGAGAACTCTGCATGACCATGCTATTTGCCAGGAAAATACAGAGACAGATGACTGACTACCTCAAGATTGACATCAGTGTCTCCCCAATGGATTGGAATCTACCTCCTCTCCCACCAGGATTTCAGTGAAAGGATGACAGGTTCATGAGGGCCCTGCTTCTCCAGCTCCTTCTTTTATTTGTTTTACCTCCTCTCACTCCTTTCTCACAAATCATATTGTTCTACCTTCCCTGGGTTCCTCCCTCCAAATGCCAACACACCAAACGTAAGAGCACTAGAAGAGTTCAGCAGCTTTAGAAGTTAGAACCTCTGTAGAAATATAAATGTTCATAAACGTACCTTTCAGCATATCTCAATGTTGATAAAGTTTCCTCATAGCAGATGTCAGCTGGACTTATGGCTGCTATCTGTAAAGAAATCCTTTTCAGATTTTGTTTTTTATACATGGGTTTAATGTTGTTTTAAAACAGTTAACATTCATAGAACAGTTTTGCATTTTGTAATTTATAGTATCCTTCAAACTTTACAAATCAGACAGAAAACTAAGATTTAGGGGAAAATAATCTGCCTGAGGTCACACAGGTCATAACTGGCAGAGTGGGGACTTGAACTTATTGTTGACTAACTCTAAGGCCTATGCTTCTCACTTCAATACAACAGTGCCCCTCACTGTTGGATCCATAGCAGATTTACTCAGGATTTGAATGACAGTTGAGTGTTGTTAGCCTCATATGACAATAATGGCACAGGACCAGGTAGTGTTTTATTCTGTTGTACATAACGTCTCTGTGAGGAAACAATTCGATGGCACCTAACAACAACAATATTTGAGAACAGTTGCACAACTCAAAGAATGTAATCACTGTCACTGAATTGTACCTGTAGAAACTGTTGAATTGGTATATGTTTTGCTGTGTATATGACAATAACAAAATAAATAAATGTTTTTTAAAAAAATTGTTCATTCTGGGTAGTCACTTCACTTGTATGATTCCAGGCCTGGTTATTGACTTTGCATTAATTGTTCCAGAATTTAAATTAGAAAACAAACTTGGATGAATTAGAGATGGGCAGGGTAACTGAGCATGACCAAGAGAGGTTATATGGCAACTGCTCACATGTCAACACTCTAATGTATAGACCTGGAGGCTTGTAGTCCAGAACACAAGAACCTGGTGAGTAATCCTGCAATGTGTTTAGCTTTACAGCTTTTAAAGTTTATTCATTTATATCAAATCCTCTGATCAGAACAGCAATATTTCAGGTGGGTATTGTTTGTGGTAGTTAAGGTTATGTGTCAACTTGGCTGGGCCTGGTTTTGAGTGGCTGGGCAGATGGATGTAGTATTCCCCATGATGAGACTGGTAATCAACACCATGGTGAAATCTACTGTGAGCAGCTGCGTAGCTGCCTTAGGGATGTGGTCTGCTCCCAGTATATAAGGAGAAGATTTAGGAATGGTCTGTAGCTTTTGGTATACTTGAACCCTGTGTGTAGCTGAGTAGTTGTTCAGTAGCCTGCCATATTATCTACCAGTTCTGGGACTCTTAATGGACTTAAATCAATGGCCTGCTCTGTGGTTTGGTAATATCGGAAATGTGCCTTTTTACTTGTTGACCTTGGGTTTGTCAGCCTCAGCAGCCATCAGCTGCCTGAGTGAAGAAAGCCGTCAGCTTCAGTGGGCCGGGAGCAAGAGCAGGGCTAAAGCCCAAGGTCTGGGGGCTTTCACCCAGCCCCTAGAGCCTGGCACTTTGAACTCAGATTTCTAGCCTCCTAAACTGTAAGAAGGAGCTCTGGTAGCATAGTGCCTAAGGCACTTGACTGCTCACCAGAAGGCTGGCGGTTCAAACCCACCAGCCACTCCTCGGAAGGAAGGTTGGGCAATCCTACTTATGTAGTGATACTTCCTCGGAAACCCAAGGAGGGGTCGCTATGAGTTGGGGCCCACTCGACGGCAAAACAACAACAACAACAAAAACAAACTGTAAGAGGGAGCTCTGGCGTGTAGTGCCTAAGGCATTTGACTGCTAAGCAGACAGCTGGTGGTTCAAACCCACCAGCCCTTCCTCAGACGGAAGATTGGGCAATCTACTTCTGTAGTGATACCGCCTCAGAACCCAAGGAGGGATACGTCTGAGTCAACTCGACGGCAGGGAGTTGTTTTTTATTTTTAACTGTAAGAGGATGAACTCTTATTTGTTAAAGCCATCCCATTTGTGTCAGAGCACCACAAAGTAACCAAAACATTGTTATTAACTTCACTTTATAAGTGAAAAACAAATGAGGTGTTAAGGTAGTTGTACTGAAACTGGGATTGATGTCACAGAAATTCTGGAGCTTGGATGTTGGCCTTGCTGGTTCTCTTTTTCATTTGCTTCCTCCTACCCCCATATGTTTTTCTGAAAGCACTGTAATGCCCTCAGTCAGGTGCTTGTCAAGGTTGGGGAGTCATCCTGTCTCTCTCAGATGACTTTATATATCTGCTGAGATCCGTTAGATTTCATTTTGTAGTCTAATATTGGAGAGACATCTTATATGTGCGTTTTTATTCTAGGCTTTGAGGAATGTGCCTGCATGGAGGCCCCCAGATACTGACAACCAGAAGGGCTTTGAAAAGAAGAATTTATACATAGTTAGGCAAGTTAAGGGTGATGGGAAAATTTGGAAGTGGATGTTAATGGTTGAACAATATGATAGACATAACTAGTGTCACTGAATTATACATGTGAACCATACATCTGATAAGAGTTTAATACCCAAAATATATTTTAAAAAGTAGTTAAGCAAGAGTACACAATAAGGATGTGTTTTACTGAGAGTTTTGGAGAGAGGTTCCCATGACAAGTCCCAGCAAAGAGCATTTCTCTCCTAACCAGAATAGCATACTGGAGGCCAGCACAAGGCCAGAGGCAGAGTCTGTTCAGCTTTGTCCCTTCTTACTGCTGAAGCTGAAGAGCAGGGAGCTCTACTTTGAACACATTCTACATTTTGCCTTTGGCAAACATTCAATAAGTAGAGTCCAGAGTATTTGCTGAGATGGTGTGATTCAGCCCCTCCCCAGCTTGAATAGCTGGCTCATGTCTAACACAGTCAAAATGTAAATTAGCAAAACCAATCTTCCTAATTCAGAATAACAGAACATTGTTAGTGATATTTTCAAAGTTGTATTAGTTTTTTTTTCTCATAAGAAAATATGTATGTTCCTTATAGAGAATCTGAACATTACAAGAAGAATAATTTTAAAATTTTAAATTAGAATAGAAACTTTATTTGAACAGTATAGTGGAAAGAGCACCAGGAGTCATGAGATAATATATAAGAATGTGCTATGTAAATGCTTTGTAATGTAAACCGTAGTTGTTTACTGAGAACAACAGTAACAATAATAGCTGAAACAGTCTAAACAGTTTTCAGAAAATCATTTTACCAGAGTAGTTCTGCTGTTGCCCCCCAGAGCTGACTGGAGCAATTTGGTCAGAATGGAATCTCTGTAGGGGATGTGCAAAACTTTCTTCCCCATGGCAGCATCAGCCAGAGCACTAGATGAAAAAGAAAATACAGAACAAAAATTTAAAATAATATGTCAAAAAGAAATTTCTTTCTCTGTGGATAAGTCAGAAATACTTCTCAAATCATCTCTTTGACCCCTGGATTTGTCTCTAAATAATATCTAACAGTAGAGACACCTTTTGTACAAAGACACAGAAGCAGTGTAGCTCAACAATACAGACTGCTGACTTCTTCATTGAAATCAACCCTGGAGAAACTGTAACTGAGAGGAGGAGGCACAGATCTGAGGAACTAATACACTAAGAACTGTGAGGAATAACCCGAAGAGTCTGCAGGCTATTGTAAATTTGTGTATAGAGATGGGACGGCAATCAGGGAAAAGGACATCATGTCTAGCAGCCCTATGGGGCATGCCTTTAAGTCCTTTTCTTGCCTCTCTCCCACACTGTCTAAGAAGATCCCATAAAGTCAGGACAGCCTCAGAGTAAAAGAGAATGAGAAGTAAATGTCTTATTCTCCACCCTCTCCAGAGTACTACAAAGAAAGCAGAGTTGGTATTGAAGAAAGGGGAAAGAGGAAAAAGGAAACCCCATCAGCTCTGGTAGCATAGTGTCTAAGGCACTTGACTGCTAACCAGAAGGCTGACAGTTCAAATCCACCAGCCACTCCTCAAAAGGAAGATAGGGCAATATACTTCTGTAGTGATACTGCCTCAGAAACCAAAGAAGGGGTCACTGTGAGTTAGGTCCGACTCAATGGCACATACAACACAACAACAACATCTATGAAAAATTATAATCACAAATAGAGAAAAAAAAAAAAAACCTCTAAAAAAGATCTAGCAGATTTGGAAAAGAAACAAAGTGATATTCTAGAAATGATGAAATATAATAATTGAAATTAAAAACACCGTCAATGGTGTCTTAGTTATCCAATGCCACTATAACAGAAATCCCATAAGTGAATGGCTTTGACAAAGAGAAATTTATTTTCTCACAGTTTAGACGGTTAGAAGTCTGAATTCAGAGAACTGACTCTAGGGGAAGACTTCCTCTCTCTGTTGAATCTGGAGGAAGGTCCTTGTCTCCTTTGAACATCTATGGGCCCAGAATTCCTTTGAGATCTACATGTGTCTTGGCATCAATCTTTCCCTGGGTCTAGGAAGTTCTTAGCACAGGGCCAAATCCAAAGGACATGTTCCACTCTTGGCTCTTGCATGGTGGTACTCATGTTGCACATTCTCTGCTTGCTTCTGTCCTTTTTATCTCTTGTAAGATAAAAGGTGATGCAGGCTACATCCTACCGAAACTTCCCTTATATTAGATCAGGGCTATGAAATGAGTAAGGGTGTTGCATCACACCCTAATCTGGCCTCATTAGCATAACAAGCAACCTCATCCTCATTAACATAACCTAATCTTACCTCATTAATACATAGAGGTCAGGATTTACAACACATCACAAATGGAGGGTAATTACATCAAATCAAGAAATGGAGGATAACCACACAATACTGGCAATCATGGCCTAGCCAAGTTGACATATATTTTTGAGGAACACAATTCAACCCACAACAGATGGGTTAAATAGTAAATTTAAACCCTGCTGTAGTTGGAATTAGAGAACTAGATAGGTCAGAAGAGTGTATCCAGAGTGTAGTCCAGACATATGGAGATAGGAAATAAGAAAAAATAAGAGGCATGGAGGACAGAATGAGAATGTCCAACAGAGCTTAATTAAGTCTCAGAAGGAGAAAAGAGGGGAAAAAATTGGGCAGAGGCAATGTGTGAAAGATAATGGCTGAGAATTTTCAGAATTGATGAAAATCACTAATCCAGTTATTAATGTCAAACAATTTCAGGCAGGATTAATAAAAATAAAGTAACTCGCAAATATAACATAGTGCAACTAGAGAAAAATAGATAGTTGCTTAAAAGTAGCTAGGGAAAAAAGACATATTATCTTCAAGGGAATAGCAATTAGACCAACAATAGAAAACAGTGGCATGGTATCCTTAAGGAGCTGAAAGAAACTATTGTTCATCTAAAATTCTATACCCAGAAAAATTATTTTTAAAGAATGAGGATGAAATAAAGACATTTAAATGAAGTGAAAACTAAGAGTTTGTCATCAGCAGAACATCAATAAAAGGAAATTCTAAAGAATACATTTCAACGGGAAATTCTTAGATAGCAGCTCAGTGGTACAGGAAGGTATGAATAACAAAAAAGGGGGGTAAAAACATGAATGAACACTATAAAATAGTAATTATATATTTTGAATTGAAAAATAGGAATTAAAATATATAAAACAATACAAAAATAATCCATATAAACAGTTACAAATGTAGGAAGAAAAAAAATTCATTATATTTAGATTTTGACAAATTTAATAGATTAAAGATCCAAGAAATAGAGTTAAATATGTATTATATTTTTGTATATGACAAAGGTAGCATAGAATAAAGAAGAAAATATTTAGAAAACAGAACTGGAAATATTAGTAATCTATATGGAAAAAATAATGAAAAACAATCTGCCTTACACTCTACACTGAGATCAACTCCAGATGTACAAGAACTTAAATGTAATATAGGTGGATATCTTTTTTTATTCTAATTTTCTTGAGCAAGACATACACAAAAAAGCAAAGCATAAACCATAACCACACCTTCTGTTCATCAATAGACAGCTTAAATAAAGTGGGAAAACAAGGAACTAAACTGGGGGAGATATTTATAACAAAAGTTTCCCTCCCTATCTGAAAGTAAAGTGCTCTTATGAAGCCTTTTGCAAGCTAAAATGGAATAAAAGGAAGAAGCAATTACCATTAGTTTATATGGGATTTTTTTTTTCTTTCTAGACCTAAAAAATAACTTACCAAATCACACTAAATAACACATAAAATTTAAATAACACTAGCATAAGATGTAAAGCAACTAACAAAAGAGTAATGTAAAAATGTATATAAAGAATGCCTACAAATCAGTTAAAAAGACAACAAGTCAAGAGGAAAATAGGCAAAACATAAGAACAGGCCTTCACAGATGAGGAAACATTGCTATAAACAGATCAAGAGACACCCTTGTTAATAATCAGGGATATTGAGACCATGATAATTTATATTTCTAGCCATGTAATTGGTAATTATCAGAAAATCTGACAATATCAAGTGTTAGAAAACACGTGGATCAATGGGATATATTATATATTGCTGCTGTGAAGGTAAGTTGGTCCAACCACTTTGAAAAACAATTTGCCATCATCTAGTAAAATTAGGTACTCACACATCTTACCAAAAAACTAAAAACACATTGGCATCAAGTTGATTCCAACTCATAGTGACTCTATAGGACAGAATAGAACTGCCCCATAGGGTTTCCAAAGATGTTAAACTTTATAGAATCAAACTGTTGCATCTCTCTCCCATCTAGCAGCTAGTGGATTTGAACTGCCAACCTTTTGGTTAGTAACCTAATGTCTTAGCCACCACACCTCCAGAGCTCTCTTCACACACTTTATGACCCAACAATTTCAATTTTATCTATACACCCAAAAGAAACTTTAATATGTTAATACACAATGATGTGTACAAGAATGTTCACAATAGCAAGTCTTATAAAAATAAAACAAACAAACAAAAAACCTGGAGACAACCCAAATATCAATCAACAAGAAAATGAATAAATTGTGGAATATTCCCACAACAGATTACTACATAGCAATGAAAAAGAACTAACAATTGCTATGTGCAATAATACAGACAAATCTCACAGACACAATGTTTATTGAAGGGAAAGAAAATAAATGAACTATAGCTACCTATGACAGGGACAGATCCTGTTAATAACGTTAACCTAAAAGCAAGTCCTAGCAATTCTGTTCCTGGGTTTATACCAAAGAGAAATGAATAATTATTTACCCCAAAGTTTATGTATAAGAATGTTCACAGCAGGGACTTCCAGTAAGATGGTGGAATAGGCAGACAAGCTATACTGGCACTCTTCAACAAAGTAAAGAGAAACCAATTGACAGAGATACAGAAGATAATCCTGGAGCCTTGATCTTTGAAAGGAACTATACAGAAGTGGATTAGGCACAACTAGTGGACAAATCTGAATGAAAGCAGTGAGTACAGAAACAGATGGAGCTGCTGCAGGCTGTCAGCTACTCTGATGGCACCAACAGCCTGAATATTTCCAAGTGGAGTTGGGACTTGAGAATTGACCTAAATAAAGATCAGCCCTAGTCATCAAGGGCTGCAGGGATGACTGCACTGGTAGCCAATGACTAGGAAAGAAAACAGCAAAGAGGGAAACAACATGAGCTGTGGACTTTCAGCTGTCCAGAGGGTGCAAACATTTTGGTTGTTTACAAGGGAAGCCATTTTGGATATGTAAAGTGACTGAGGAGGGCTCAGCCATTTTGAGTGTCTATAAGTGGGAGCCATTTTGGGCATTTAAAGTGACCAAGGGTGCAGCCATTTTAAATCTTTACAAGCAGTGGCCATTTTGGATATTTAAAGTGACAGCATTCTCATTTGGATTCTAGGGACCTAAGAATTGCCTCCATTTACCAAGGACAGCAGAGATGTATGAAAAGCTGACCATGGGAAAGGTCACAGGTGGTGAGTGCATAAATGCTATCAACTAGTGAACAGATGAGCACAGTACCCTACTTATGTAGATAACATAAAAATTTTGGGCAAGTCACTCTAACATACAATCACCAATTAAATATAAACACAAAAATGTCAACAACAACAGAGTATCACAGTACAGTCCACACAAAGAAGTATGATAATGCAGGAGAAACAAGGGACCATGATACAGACCCAGAACACATCCCTGAGGAATAAGCAGCATTGGAACTCCCTGATAAGGAATCAAAAGAATTATGTTTAGGTACCTTCCACAGATTGAGAGACAGATCAAGGAAAACACTGACAAAATTTAGGAAAAAACAGAGAAGACCCTGTAACAATTTTGCAAGACAATACAAGAACAAAATGACAATATAAATGAAAACTT